AACATTTTTTCTATGTACATATAATTTCAACAAAACTAGGTCCAAAGTACTTAAGAGGCTGAAGCCAAACATGAAAGTTCAAGGCCTTCCTAGGCTACAGAGTAACATCCTGCCTCCAAAAAAGCAAAATGTACTTTTTAGGGAGTTTATTAACTATAAATGTATATTTACTTAAAAGAAAAATAAGCTAGGTGTGGTGGCACATGTCTTTAATACCAGCACTTGGGAGACAAAGGCAAGTAGATCTCGGTGAGTTCGGGGCCAGCCTGGTCTACAAAGTGAGTTCCAGGACAGCCAGGACTACATAGAGACCCTGTCTCGAAAACCAACAAGAACTATATATATATATATATATACCTCAAAAAGAAGAAGACGATGATGTCGATGATGACATTGGGTTGATGAGATAATTGAGCAGGAAATGAGCCCGATGACCTGAGTTACATCTCCAGGACGACATGTGACGCTATCTTGCGACCTCTACACATACACTGTGGTAGGGACACAAGGGTACAAGTGCGCACATTCTCACACACACACCAAATAAATCATTACAGTAAAAAAGAGTAATATATTGTATAATACAGAGAAAACAGAAAAAAAGCATTCAGAATTGTATTCCTTACTGGCATTGTCTTTGGGGTGTTTCTCTGACCATCGCTTTATTCACATATTCATATATGGTTTGGAGCCTTTGGACCCTCTGCACCTTGGCATGATATTTATGCAACTTTGTACCCAGGGTTTTTATTCAACATTTTGTCATGAATAAAAGTTTTTAAAATCAGCCGGGCGGTGGTGGCGCACGCCTTTAATCCCAGCACTCGGGAGGCAGAGCCAGGCGGATCTCTGTGAGTTCGAGGCCAGCCTGGGCTACCAAGTGAGTTCCAGGAAAAGGCGCAAAGCTACACAGAGAAACCCTGTCTCGAAAAACCAAAAAAAAAATAAAAAATAAAAAATAAAATAAAAAAGTTTTTAAAATCAGGAATTGGGGAGGTAGTGGTTAAGGTATCAAGGGAAACTCCCTGGCCATGGGCCTTTATGGTTGATTTCTATTATAAGCAATTCTCCTTCATATATGTATATGTATGTGAAGGAGAACTGGTTTTATATGTGTGTGTGTGTGTGTGTGTGTGTGTGTGTGTGTGTGTGTGCTTGTTTGTGTGTGTGTGTGTGTGTGTAGCCCAGGCTGTTCTGGAACTTGCTGTGTGGCCCAGGCTGTCCTGGAACTAATGATCCTGTGTCAGCCTCCTGAGTACAGGGTAACAGGTGTGTGTTATACCACATTGGTTTTTCTAAATATACTTAATAAAAGCGTGAAGAGGAGGAATGAAGAGATGGCTCAGGAGTCAAGAGCATTTACTGTTCTTTGCAGAGGTCCTGGGTTCAGTTCCCAGCACCCACATAGCAGCTCACAAACCACCTGTAACTCCAGTTCCAGGGCATCCAACTCCCTCTTCTGGCCTCCTGCATGCATGTGGTGCAAATGAAATCATCAAAGTACACACACATACACACAATTTTTTAAATTTCACTTTGGACTTTGAAACTTTTCTATACACATATTGAGTATATTTTTGGAGTCCATTTCCACATTTACAAGCTGACCTGTAAAACGTGATTATCTTTCATTGATCCCATTTTTATTCCTGCCATATAGTCCAGGCACCTTTTGCAGTGGTGAGTGGAGTTTTGAAAACAAATCTGCATTCTCATCTCCTTTTCCTTCCTGAGTTTATAGACCTCTTTCATCCCCCTCTCAGTCTGATATTTAAATTACTCAGTCGGCAAGTGTTGTTGAACCTGAAGAGTGTGAGCTGAGGCAGGGACGGGGCCAAAGGAAAAGAATCAGAAGGCACCTTACAATACCAATCCCATCATATAGTAGCCATTTTTCCTCCACAGCATCCATCAATCAAGCTAACGTTGTCCTCCTAACCCTTACAGATTATGTAAATTTGTTCGGACATCCATTTAATAGGAAAAGTTGAGCACACTCACATCAACACAGTCTCTTACCCTGAGACCACACAGCTAGCAAATGGTAGAGAAGGGATCTAATCCAGGCGACTGACCCCTGAACCTGCACTCTGGATCTCTTTTTTGCCCTCCAAGGCAGCAGGGTGTAGGGGTGTAGGGTAAAGGCTGCAGCCAGCCAGGATCAAAACTCCCTTCCTCTTGGCTGTGCCAACTTGGGCACTTCTCTGAGGCCATTTCACCTTTGGTAACCCAACCTCACAGGGCTGTCCTAGGAGTTAAATGAGACGATGCAAGGGAGAGAAGGATCGATGTCCGGCTCCCAGCTGGCATTTAGAAGGTTATTGCTGGGTGAGCATCACTTCTCTCTTGGCTTCACAAGCTCGGGGTCTAGTTGCCAAGCTGGAGAAAAGAGTTTAGCGGAGCTCTGAGCTAGCCTGGGGCCGGCTGGGAAGTCAGTGATCCAAGGCGTATTTGCCTAGAAATGCAAATGTCTTCTTTGCCCCCTCTCAGCCTCTGCCACTAACCTCGACTCCCATTCCCCCAAAAGGAAATGGGTGGCTTTTCTGCTTCAAAGCTGAGTGCTTAAAGCCCTTCTCACTTCTACTCCCTGGGAGGTGGCCAGTGGAGATGACAGGAAGTCACCGGTGGGGTGGGGGTCTTTCTGGAACTTGGGCATATAGAAATGTGGTGGAGGGCGCTCCTTATTCTGCCCTTCAATGGTCCGGATGGGGGAGGGGGCTAGCTGTTGAGCAACTGCTCCGGAGACACTCCAGAAGCCGAGATGAACATATGCCTCTTTCTAACAATTGGCCTGGGAGCCATCCAATAGATGGAGGGCGGATCCACAGGTCCGGGATCCGGAGCCTGCAGCCCAGCTGCGTCTGCAGTTTACAAACCAGCTCCAGAGTCCAACAGCGGAGGAGGGGGCAGGTCAGGGGTCCAAATTAGCAACCGTAATTCAAAAGCCTAACCTAAGCCCGCTCCTTCTCCACCTCTGCTTTCACAAAAACTTTTCTCACCTCAGGAAAATACCAAGAGGCTTTGGAGGTGTACTCTCCTGCTACCCCAGTAGAGCTTTAGGGTCCCACAGATCGCTCCTTTTCTCAGCAGGAAACTAGGCACGGCCCGCAATCTTCGAGCCAAGTGAGAAAGTGTAGCGATGGTGTGTGGAGTGTGCTTGTTGCCCAGGTTTGATCTGCAGCAGAGTGGGAGGGGGCAAGCAATGAGCAGCCGAACAGGGGTAATGGGTTTCCCCAGTTATCCAGGGTACTCACCCCAGCTTCTTCGAAATGCCAAAGAAGGGCCTAGATCTGTCCCTCCATCTGCGCCCCTCTTTGTCAGCCAGCCGGTCATTTCATCAACAAACACGACTCTGTTAGAAGAGCAAATTCGGGGCACTTGCGATCCTAAAAGAAGAAGAAGAAAAAAAAAAGATCTTCAGGTCTTCAGAGCCAATTAAGACACAAGGCACACACAGGGAAAATGCCTTTGTAACATTCCTCCTCCCCCCCCCCCCCCCGCCGCCGCCGCCCCGTTTCCTTAACATCGTACTTTTTCAAAAGACCATGTTTTACAAATAGTGTAAAAACTGAGTTGTTGAGTGAAGGGGTGGAAGGGGGTGAGGATGAGAGTGGGGGGCTTGATTAGAGGGGGATAATCTTGGTGGCCTTCCTGCAAGGGGTGAGGTGGGAGTTTCCAGTCACAGGGAACATGCTTTGAAATGAGAAGCCACAGATCTCTTTCAGTAAGGATTTGTAAGACAACGTACCAACACAAGAGAGATGTGCTCCAAGTGCAAAATGTTGTTCTTGCTAGATGTGAATAATTATATAATCATAATAAAATAACCTGGCATCGTGGGAAGGCAAGAGGAATCTCTGCGAACTCTGTGGCAAGCTTTTCGAACCCGCTGCCTGTTCTTGGCTTTTCCGTGAGCCATGTGAGTTGCATGCATGCACCTAGCCCCACGGTCCAGTAAAACAGCATTTCTCAGCATCGTTGCATCCTGCCAGCCTTTCTGCCCTGGATGACCACAGGACAGAAAGCCTTGAAACCAACCCTGGGCCTTGAGGGAAGCCACGACTGCCATATGATCCCTCTAAGTGGCCCTGAACAAAATGTAGGGAGTTTAGGAGGAAAGGCACCTTCCAACCTCAGCCATTCCACGACCAGGCGACGTAGCCTGAAGAGGGCAAACAGGCTCAGAGAAAGCCCTGCAGAAAACTAAGACCGTGCCTTGCCTACCCCGTCCCGAGTGCGAGTCCCTCCTCTGGGTCTTTCCCTAAGCCAACAGCTCTCCTCTCTATCCATTGAAGCCCGTCCTGGCCACCCGCTTGATTTAGGTCAGAAAACAGACACTAACAGCTCTCCCTCGCCTCGGTGAAATTACTAAGTGGAATTTATTGGGCAAGTCCATGCAGGGTGGTGGGGAGAACCCACGTCCTGGGTTCGGGCTGCCACCAGTTTTAGAAACAAGAGATACGGGCCAGAGCACTGGGACAGAAGTGACCATAATCTGGGACCATCAGCCCCACCCCGGTAGCTGTGTCGTGCCCCCAGGGCTGAGGGACAGGAGGGGGACGCACGGACTCTGTTCCCTAGCCCGCCCTCCGCTTTCACAAGATCCACGGTGACTGCACCAGCTCGAGCGCCTTTAAAGGGCCACACACGCCAGCCGCCGCTATAAAATGTTCCCGGCGGCACAGCTGCAGAAGTGCGCTGCTGAGCTGCGGTGAGGAGGCTCGCTCCTCCCGGCTGCTCCTCCCACAGCCTATCGGCGCGGGGCTGCTCCCGGCAAGGAGGACCAGACTGGAGGAAGGCACTGCACCCTCTCGGGCTCTCCGTAAGTATCCAGTTCAGATTTTGCCACCAACTCGTCCACGATCCAGGACATGTGCTAATAATGCCCTAAGCCGGTTATAAAGACGTGAAAATTGGGGGGAGAGGGAAAAAAAAAAGGGGGGGGGAAAGGGTCTGTCCTTCCTGGGATTCCTAGCCGAGGCCAGCCTGCTGCCGTGTGCGTGTGCGCCAGGGCTCTCCGGGCGGCAATGGGGGCTTGAGAGCCGGGTCCCCGCGCCCAGACCCAAACGTGGTGGCTGCTAACGCCACCGCCTCGGAGTCCGGCGCCGAAGCTGCGGGCGGGCACCAGCGCCGGCCGGGGCTGCTCGGCGCTGCACGGTGCGGTGCGGCGGCGGCGGCGGCGGCGGCGGCGCGGCGCGGCTGTGCAGGCTTTTCCCAAGCGCCTTGGGGTCGGGTGCCTGTGCGGCCGCGGGACTCTGAAGCGAGCGGCGGCGGTGGCCAGCTTGCCAAGGGACGGGGGGCGGGTGGGTTCGGCCGCTTCGTCCGATCCTCAGCCCCAGCGAGCTCTCCCTGTCTCCCGGGCAGGCAGCTTCGCGGAGGTAAGCCGGGCCGCCGGGCAGGGCGCTGGGCTGGGCAGCCGGAGACGAGGGCACGGCCGGCGGCCGAGCGGGCCGAGGGGCTGGGGGACTTGTTTGCTGCTGGAGGTGCCGGGCCGGGGGGCCGGCCGCCGGCGGGACTCGGCGCCCACTTGTCCGGAGGAAGCCTCAGCAGCTCCTCTCCCGCGCCCGCGCTTTCTGGGGCTCCGCTTCCCCGACTTTGCCAATAGCCCGGACTGCATCAGGCCGCTCGGGGGACCCCCCGCACAAAGCTCTCGTTTCCTTGGGGGTGGGGGGGACTGGAAGCGAGAGGGGCTCCGGGCCGGGTCCCGCCGAGCTGCGGGCTGCAAGTTGGAGCCTTCGGCGGGCAACTTGCTTTCCCCTAGGCAGCCGACCCCGCTCCCTGCCCCCCGCGCACACGCCCCTCTCCAGGGGAAGCGGCGGCGGCGGCGGCGGCGGCGGCGCCCAGCCCCTGCCTCGCGGGGCGCCTGACCTGGGGTGGGACCGCGAGTCCGGGGCCGCGCCACTTTGAGCGCTGTGACCTTGGGTAAGTTCTAGCACCTCTCGGCACCTCGAATGTTCGCTAGCGGGCCGGGAGCGGCGGGCCGCTTCGGACGCTCCGAGGACGCTCGGAAGTGTCGGCGCGGCGGCGCGCGAGCCGCTGCCACTGGCGCCAAAGTGCGCCCCCGCGCGCGGAGACGCTGCGGGTCCCCAAAGTCGCGCTGGACGCGGAGACCCCGTGCCGCGTCGCCAGTCTGCTTCCGAGCACCTTGAGGTAACGGCAGCTTCGAGCTTTCGGGCACGGCCGCTCGCTGCCGGTGTCCGGGGGCTGCGCGCGGCCAACCTCCGCGCCGGTGCCTCTCTCCCGGCGCGTCGAGGAGGCCGGGCGGGCGAGCGGCCGGTAAACAACGGGCCTTTAGTTTTCAGGTGGCGAGGGCTGACTGGGGCTGCTTGGAGGGCGAGCAAGCCAAGCCGCAGCGCTGTTTGGATTTGGTAGATTTCTCAGTAGCAATGGAGATGGAGTCTACCGGTTGGTGCCATTTTTAACTTTTGCTCCCCGGGACAGGTTCGAGGCCCCCCCACCTGCCGCTCCCTTCTCTCCCCCCACCCCACCACCCCACCCCTTCTCACCCTCCTTCAGCGCGGGCCGGGGCTGACGACGAGGGCGGCCAGGCGAAGCCGGGCGGGCGGCGGCGGGAGGCGCGAGCCGCGGAGCCGGCACTTGTTGCGCGGCTTTTGGCAGCGGCTCGCCGCGCCTTCGCGGTGGTCACTTAATGGCTCTCTCCCCGGCGTTCGCCAGCCAAGTTTTTCCCTCAGGTGGGCTGAGGGGTGGAGCGGGGGTTGGAAGACGGGGCCGTGGGGGGCCGGAAGTAAGCTCGCCCCTTAGACGGGCTCCCCGCTTGCCGAGCGAGCGAGCGAGCGAGCGGGCTGGCGCGCCTCGAGGGGACTGTTGCAAGGGCCTGCCCGGCGAGCCCACACCAGAACACACACACTTCACTCACGTTTTCTTCCCCCATTCGTGTTGCTTTGGGGTTGTTTTTGGTTTTGTTTTGTTTTTTTCTTTTGGACATTCGGGGACGGGTGGCGTCCGGGAGAGAGAAGATGGATGCGCAGGTGAAGCGATGAGGAACTTGAAATAGTGGCGGGGCTGGCCCTCCTGACGACGGCGCGCGGTAGCGCCCTTGTCTTGAGGCAGAGGGCTGAAATATCCTAGGGTTACCTCAGAGCGCTGTTTGTACTTCAGTCCAGCAGTGGTGTGGGACCCGGCAAGTGGCCCTCCATGTTTTCTCTTTTTTGCTTCCTTCTCTTCCCCCAGTAGGCGGTTGTTTGAAGGAGTTGGGGATAGTGGTACCTTTAGAAGCCAGAACATTCTTAACAGCCACAGGGGGGGTAACAAGGAGGGTAGAGTCCCAGCAAATTCTAGCCTCTTTGGGAAAATGACTCTTGGGTTCCTTAAGACGATAATGCTAGAATATATGCGGGTTTCAAATATACGCTTCCAGGAAAATAAGAATTTTTCATTTTCTGAGTTTGAGGTGGTTCTTTGTTTGTTTTTGTTTTTTCTCTCATTCTCGTGTCTCGTTGGCACTTGGGCAAGAGAATCATTTCTTTAGAAGCCATCTGAGTGATTGCAGGTATGAGGACTTGGCCTATGATCAGGAGAGGCATATGGCAACGGACTGTTAAGATGCTGCTCTCCAAACCGCTGCAGATGCTGCTGTTGCTTCCAGGCTGAAAACCATCGGATTTTCCCTCCATGAAGAATTCTTTCTTCTCTCATCCACACATGGGTGTGGCCTGCCTCTGGGCCCTGGGACAGTTGTCCTGGGGTAGCCCAATCTAGGGACTGTCTTGTAGGGGCTTGAGACATGGAAGAACTGAGCTGTTTCCAGCTATTCTGGTGCTCCTACTGCCTCACAGCCTCCAGAACACCCTCGTCTGCTGTCTTCTTGTAGGCATGCCCCAAGAGACTCTAGGTCATCCTTCTCCTGAATTCTCACTTTTCCCCAGTCCCACTGGAGACCTGGGTGTTAGTGGTCCATTGACATGGTGCGTTGTGTTCTCAGGGACATGCCTGCTCTGGGAATCAGGAATAGTGCCTCCCCTACCTCTGGCCTTGGAAATAACCTGTATGAGTAAATGTTCATGTGTTCTTTCTTGGCATTGTGGGTTGTCATTAGCCCCTGGCTGAATAGAGCATACTTCTGGCCCCAGGTCAGAGTTCCAGCTCTGTCTCTGCTTCCTGCTCAGGTGCTCTCTGTTTTGAGTTTAACCGGATCAGCGTCTTTGTGTAGCTGAATGGATTCACCCTGACTTCGAAGTTTCTAGTGCTTCCTTTGTCAAGATAACCATTCGCGTTTATCATTTCTTCTCTTTTACTTACAGACCAACAGCTCCAGCTGGAGGCATCAACTCCCACCAGTTTATCTGACTTCTGCCCAGACTCTGAAATGCCAACTATGTCAAGGCCTGCACTTGACGTCAAGGGGGGTAGTGGTAGCACCTCTGTGAAGGAGGTAAGTTTTGCCACTTACAGATGGAGATACTATGGCCTGGAAAGATGGGCTTTAGGGGAGAAGGTCATGCACCAGGCCTTCCTAGGTGTGGCGTGTAGCCAGTGTGCTTGAAGAGAAGATACAGCGGGCTTTGGGAAAAATGAGAACAGCTTTTGTCTTAAAAGTGGTTGAATTGAACTCACTAGGGGTACTGAAAGACAGACAGCAGGAAGGGAGCAAAGAAGCAGAATTGGGGCAAGACCACTGTGGCAAAGAGACTGTAGTGAGGCTGAGAAGAGGGACAAAGGGGTGCCCTTTTTACACGGGGGGCACGGAGAGTAGCAGGGGAGGGAGGCCCACTTCGGATAATGGGTTGTCCAGGACTACACCTGAGGTCTGAACTTAGGCTCCTAACTGTCCAGGGGCTCTGCCTGCCACCTGCTCACTATTAGCACCAAATGCAGGGCATGCAGGAGCATTCCAGATCCAGTGAATGCCAAAGAGAAAACCAGGAGGAGGGCTACTATGGTGAACCTTCTTGTCTTCTAGGATGCCAACCAGGAGATGAATTCTCTGGCCTACTCTAACCTCGGGGTGAAAGACCACAAAGCAGTGGCCATCCTGCACTACCCCGGGGTCACCTCAAATGGAGCCAAAGCCAATGGGGCTCCCACCAGCTCCTCTGGATCAGCATCTCCAATGGGCTCTCCTACTGCCACCCCTTCTACCAAACCCCCACCCTTCAACCTGCACCCTGCCCCTCACCTGATGGCCAGCATGCAGCTGCAGAAGCTTAACAACCAGTACCATGGGGCCGCAGCGGCTGCTGCTGCCACTCCAGGCCAACCAGGGGAGGCGGGCCCCGTGCAAAACTGGGGCCTTGGGGCCCAGGTCCAGGCCCAGGCCCAGGCGCAGGCGCAGGCGCAGGCCCAGGCGCAGGCCCAGGCCCAGGCCCAGGCCCAGGCGGGAGGGCCAGGGTCAATCACTCCTCCTGCTGGTGCCCAGAGCCCTGCTATCATTGATTCTGACCCAGTGGATGAGGAGGTGCTGATGTCTCTGGTGGTAGAACTCGGGCTAGACCGAGCCAATGAGCTTCCCGAGCTGTGGCTGGGGCAGAATGAGTTTGATTTCACTGCAGATTTTCCCTCTGGCTGCTGATGCCAAGTGTCCCTAAAAATTGAGGAACAAAGCCACCAATTCTGTTGTAAATAAAAGTAACTTGCAAAGAGATAGCTGACTGGCTGTGTTCTTCATGGGGGTCTAAAGTTGTGGAGTACACTCTGACAGCCTTGGTAATTCTGGGTTGCAAGAGTCTGAGGGGTGTGGGAAGGGCTGGCACAGGTGGTCTCAGAACTCTTGCTGCTGCCACCCCCTGCCCTTATCGCCTCCAGAGTCCGGGAACTGAACTTTAATTCCCCAACACCGCACAAACACTGTCCTGTTGAAGGTTGGGTACAGGAGCTGGTGCTCAAGGCATTTTTGGAAGACAAGCTGCTTCAAATCTGTCTGTGGCTTCCTTGGCATTGGCACACCCTTGGCTACCTGGCATATGCTCCCAACTCTAAAAGCCAGCAATTCAGGGTTGAAACAATGCTCCAATAGTTAAAAGCACTTACTGCTTTTGCAGAGGACTGGGGTTCAGTTCCCAGCACCCACATGGCAGCTCACAGCCATCCATAATTCCAGTTCCAGAGGATCGGACACCCTCTTCTGACCTCCAGCATCAGGCTTGTACGTACGTGGTACACATATATAAAGGCAAAATGCATACATATAAATTTTTTAAGTCACCAATTTAACTGACCCATTTAGGGCTATTCCTTTACCCTTTTTGCCTTTATGAGCTAGATAAGGCCAAATGTTCCATAACCAAGCATTCAGATATTGTCATTAAAACCCGATTTTAGGTGCCTTCTTCAAGCCCCTCAGACAACTCCTTGTTCTTCCCCTCCAAGCCTAGAAGACTCTGAGCTAGCCTGTGTGTCCCCTAATTCATACCTCCTTGGCCTACCCTGTGTGAGGTAGGCCTCTCCAACCTAAAACGTACAAATGAGGCCCAGGTTTGACAAGTTCAAAATGTTTAGAGATCTCTTGAGGCAGTGACTTCAAAAGAATGTAAAAGTGACAAGGTAAGGACACTAACCCAGATCCTGGGTCATAATGCAGCCCTAGCCTCATGTAAGGGCTGGAAACTGCTGCCCACATTTCAGAGTCCTGAAGGTGTTCTTCCTTGGCCACTGAACATTATGAATTAGCCTTTGAGGAACATCATGAGGCTTGTCCCATGTGAGCACATTCAAGAATCCTCCTACGAAAGGCACTCACCGAATTCAACCCTCTCTGACTTCCTTCCTGCTCAGGGTCAGGCACTTTGCTAGACACTGGGAACAAGAATTGGATCAAGTTTGTGCCTTTGAGGATGTTTCCCATCTCCAAGAAAGAAGGGCACAAACACTGCAAGAAATCTTGTATTCTCCAGAACACAAGAAACAGTGTTATTTGATCCCAGAAAAAGAAGTAGCGCTATCTACCTGGGATGTTTTATTTATTTATTTATTTTCGCATCTCACAAGTAATAAGTAAGTATATAGTAGAACCTTGTAAAAAGTAGGAGGGGCTAGGGAATGTGGCTTAGTGGTAGAGCACTTGCCCAGCGTGCATGCGTTCCTGGGTTCCATCCCCAGCACTGCAAAAATCAAAGTAACAATTTAGAAACAGAAATTTGGGTTGGACAGAAACAGTCATATCTCTGTGAGTTTGAGGACAGCCTGGAATACATAGCAAGTCCCAGGCCACCCAAGGCTACAGAGAAAGGCCTTATCTTAAAAAAAAATTTTTTTTTTTAAAGAAAGAAAGTCCAGATATGGTTAAAGAACCCTTTGTCCTACTCTCTCCCTTAATCCTGACTGCCTCTGGTCCTCCAGAGAAATAGCTGTTTATCTGTTCCTGGGGCATCCTTGTCAACCCTGTTTTGGGCCTTAATATGAAGATGTATCTATCCCTAAGCAGGGGGAGGGGGAGGGGAACTGTCTTTTTTTTTTTTTTAAATATAACTCAGCAGGGTCTGGAAGGATGGCTCAGCGGTTAAAAGCGCTTTGAGAAGACCCAGGTTTGATTCCTAGTATCCACATGGCAGCCCACAACCAACTGTAGTTCCAGTCCCAGGATCTGATACCCTCTTCTGGCTTCCACGGGCACCAGGCATGCATGCAGGCAAAACACTCATCCACATAAATAATTTTAAAAATCAGCTCCTAGTGACCCAGGAGCAGCATGTGGGTACGGGGGCAGGGTGTGGTGCAGTGATAAGATGTATTAGACAGGGTCCTTCCCTGCTGGAGCATTTGAAAAACATGAGTCTGGCCAGATTCTATGCCTGTTCCCTGGCTTGTTTCCCTGATCTCTGAGCATTTGGGGGCCCTAGGAGGGCAGTAGCAGTTGGTGGGAAGAGAGACCCAAGTAAGGGGTCAGTACCCGAAAATCTGAAAATTGTAGAGGCGACAAGAATACAACTGGGAAGCAGGTGATGGCAGAGAACAGCCTGGGTATCGTCCGTATATTAAGGTTCTCCAAAGAAAGAAAACCAGTAAAATATATACACATACATATAGATGCTATTTATTTCTAGTATATATGATACCTATAACAACGCAGTACACACGAATATGAGATTGTAGAGACCAAGGAGTCCCGTCCCTCAATCTGCTGTGTGCAAGCCGGAGATGCAGAAAAGCCAGTGGTGCCACTCAGTCTAACTGTGAAGACCTGAGAGGGTCAGAAGGCAGTCACAGCACCCCGCTCTGAAGCTCAAAGTTTCAGGAGTGCTGAATGAAGTCCAAGGGCAGAAGATGAACGTCTCGGCTCAAATTCACCTTTCCTCTTCCTATCAGTTCTATTCAAGCTCTCGACTGATTAGATGATGCTTAGTCACACACTCATTACTCAACCTGCTGATTACTTAAAATGCCAGTCTCTCATAGCCACATCCAGAGATGAAATTTGACTAGCTGTATGGGCATCCTTAGCTCCCCTGTAGTTACCATCACACCTAGAGAAGGTGCTTCCCAGAGGAAGAGAGCAACCCTGCCTCCTGGTGTCAGCAGCCAAGAAGTGTGGTCACCTGAGCAGGCTCTCGGCAGAGCAGCGGCAGGGGGAAGGGAGGCAGGGTGCATCTTCCAGAGAGAGCCAGGCCTACTAGGGGAGGAAAGGGACAGCGTGGACAGGAAAGGACACAGTGGAGGACAGGTGCGCAAATCTCCATTCCTGCCCCACTGTTTCACAGTCGGTCTTCTTCACAGCCAGATACCTTCATTTATTAGGTTACCATGAAGTTCCAGGGGCAAATCCCAGGCTCTCCCAGCTTAGGCCCTAGTGCACACAGAGAAGGAGTACTGCCTGCTGGCAAGGGCCCCGCAGCCTGGAACAGATAACAATGGACAGGTAACAATGTCTCCAAGAGCCCAGTGGCTATCCTGTTCCCTAGGGATAAGCTAGAAGAGACCCGGTCCCTGATTACAAGGAACTCACAGTTCCCGGGCAGTCATGGCCTTGAAGGATGGATCGGACTTGCACATGGCAGCAAAACCACGGAGGGTGGGAGCACAGCCTCCAATCAGAGGCACAAATGGAACATTACCAAGAAGATAGAACGGGGCCTGCTGGAAACCAGAACAAAGCACCAGAAAAAAACAAGCTCGAGATGAGGAGGCTTTTTCAAGGACACAAAGCCCAGAAGCTAGGGAAAACAGTGATATATTTAACTACATTATTTAGCTACATTTTTGTGGGGGGTTGCTTTTGGTTTGCTGAGGCAGGGTCGCACTCTACAGCCCCACCTGGCCTTGAGTTCACTATGCAGTCCAGGCGGGCCTTGGGTTCATGGCAAACCTCCTGCCTCACCCTCCCAAGGACTGGAATTGCAGGCATGCACCACCACTCCAAAATTTAAGTGCATTTTAAAAACTACATGGTCTCTACGCCCTTGCCTCTAATCCCAGCACTGCAGAGGTAGAAGAGGATTACAAGTTCAAGTCCAACCTGAGCTACATAAAAAGACAAAGTATTGAGAAAATATTCATAGTAAAACACACACACACACATACACACATACATCTTTAAAAGTCAGCCATAGTAAGTGCACACCTTTAAATTTCAGTACTCCTGAGGCAGAGGTAAGCAGATCTCTATGACTTCAAGATCAGACTGGTATACACAGTGAGTTCCAGGCCTCACAAACCTACATAAGGGGACCCTGTTTTGTTTTGTTTGTTTGTTTGTTTTTTAGGGTTTCTGAGACAGGGTTTCTCTGTGTAGCTTTGGTGTCTGTCCTAGATCTCGTTCTGTAGACCAGGCTGGCCTCGAACTCACAGAGATCCACCTGGCTCTTCCTCTTGAGTGCTGGGATTAAAGGCATGTGCCACCACCGCCTGGCCCTCTTTCTCTCTTAAAAACAAAACAAAACTGGGCAGTGGTGGCGCACCCCTTTAATCTCAGCACTCAAGAGGCAGAGGCAGAGGCAGAGGGATCTCTGTGAGTTCAAGGTCAGCCTGCTCTAAAGAGTGAGTTCCAGGACAGCCAGGACTGTTAGACAAAGAAACCCTGTCTCTAAAAAAAAAAACAAAAACAAAAAAAAAAAAAAAACGAACACACATACAAACAATATAGAATTCATTTTGTGTTGTCAAACTACTCCTGAGCATAAGGCCTGCCCTGGTGTGTGGTTTGATGAACCCAGTGTTACCCCATTGAGGGAAAAAAAACTGATCCTTCCCTCTCCTAACAACAATTGATTCCAAACAATTTCTTTGCCAGGAGTGGGACTTGGTGCCCACTTCTCTTTCTCTGTGCTGGCATTTTGTCTGGCTTGAGTTTGTGCAGGTCCTGTGCACGCCGTCACAGTCTCTCTGAGTTCATACGTGCATCAGCCCTGTTGGGTCTGTAAAACTTCCTTGGAGCCATCCACCACCTCCGGCTCTTAAAATCTTTCTGTCTCCTCTTCTACATAGATCCCTGGGCCTTGAGGGGAAGGATTTGATGAAGACATCCCATGGAGGACTGAGTGCTCCAAAGTCTGTCGTTCTCTGCACATTGTCCAGTTGTGGGCCTGTGCTAATTCCGATCTACCTACTAGAAGAAGCTTCTCTGATGAGAGCTGAGGCTGGGTCCCCTGATAATGAGGTGGAACTTCTGGCTGGAGAAAAAGATTAGACAGACTTACCTTTCCCTGCTTC